GATTTTCATCGCCCGGCAACGATGACGAATCTCATCACCGACTCCTTGATGGTCATGACTTTCGCACTGAGTCTCGCGGCTGCTTCCGCCAATTCTTACGCGATTGTTGTTTTTGCTAGTGAGCATCTTCGAAGTCATAAATAAACGAAATATAATTAAGAATATTCGTTTATAAAGCAGTAACGTAATAATAAAATTTAATAAAAGCATCCTCGAACTTATGAATAAACAAAATATGATTAAGAATATTCGTTTATAAAGGAGTAACGTAATAATAAAATTTAATAAAAGCATCTGAGTATATAAATAATCAAGTATTAAAATAATTTTCAACTTTATAAATGTGAGTATGTACATATATAAATCTTAGTATAATAATATATTATTAATTTTTTCTGATATATAGTATTAATTTTTCTGCTTATTATTAAATGCAAATATATTAATCTTGATCAAATTAATTATGTGACGATAATTAATTCTAGGCATTTTTCTGACATGGACGGCCGTTGCTGCGCACAATTACTTCCACATGAGAGACAACTTTCGCATGTACTACTTCGATCTCAGTATGTTATCCTTGAAGAATTGGCGTATCTCGCACGTAATGAGCCACCATATGTATACTAATACTTTATGGGATTATGAGATTTACGTGGTGGAACCGTTTCTTCAATGGATCCCTCGTAAGGATAAATCCTACTTTGCGGGTATCATAAGCAAGATCACCAGTCCTATCGTCTGGATGTTATTGTTTTTTACGGAAGGCTTCAAACGGTAATAGTTAATTTCACATTTGTTCGTTGAAATTAGAAAAAAAAATTAATCTATATCTCTTCAAATCTAGATTTTGAGTTCTACATTAATTTTGTTTTTTTTATTTCAATATTCTGATTCTTATTAAGAATTTATATAATTTCAATTTCATTATATGATTCTTGTCATTAATTATTAAATATATATTTTTATAATTTTTATATATATAAATTTTTTCTTAAACTTTAAATATACACATACTTGTGATATTTTTTGATACCAAGAAATTGTCCGACAGAATTCCAAATCCGACGACACAAGACAGTTCATTAAATTCTGTAAATTTCTTATATAAAAATTACTTATACATTGTTTCATATAGTATTTGACATAAACATGGTTGAATAATAATAACTGTAATAAACTCTAATTGAATTTCTTCAAAGTAACGTAAATCAATAAGAGATTTTATAAATCAAGATTAAATTTTTTTAAATTGTATTGAAATTTAATCTGAATATAATATGTGGAAAAAAGAAATAAATTAAAAATAAATAGATAAAGATTTTTTTATTTTGAAATTTTACTTCGAAGGTTATTGCCGTGTTATATGTAGTTACATATTATTTATGAACGTTAATATTAAATTATTTTCCGATACCTCTTGCGATCGCGTTTAGAATAAGAATTCGACGGAGCGTCTCACATCAAAGAGGAAAAGAGGCAACAATACTTGCGGGTATCAATTTAATATGCCTTTTTTAAGAATGAAAAATTGGAACATACAAATAAAGACAGAATCGTCGACGATAAAATTGTAAAAGCGTTTGCTCGATAAAACATACATAATAATATAATATAATTCGATGCTTTATTTATATTACACAGATCTGCACAATTTTATATTTTTTCTGCGGTTTGGAAAAAACAAAGTCCTATAGTTTTTTGTGCGCTGAATCCAAATCCGCAAGGCAAAATGGACTATCATGTCAGGTTTTCGAGAAAAACGGGGTTAAAATTCTCAAAAAACGCGTTTTTTCACAATTTTTGAAAATTTGTAGCAGGCGAACCCAATGTGCAAGAGATTTTAGACAGAGCTTAAATGAAAGCTTGAACATTGTACTTTAATATAAAAATATCGAATCTTTTACCACAGATAGCATCGAACCTCAGGCGCACTTTGTTTTTAGGTGTAGTCGCACTGTATCAAGTAAAACGATTGTCCCATGCAGTCCGATTGCAAAACCGTTGCAAACAGTAAAAATTTTAATCATAAATTCAATACACGAGGCTAAAAGTGCTTAATGGCACTAAAAACGTTTTCTTTTCATTTGTTAAAAAAAATTATAATTTTTTTAGTTTTATCGATAAGTACATAATTTTACTCACTTTTAATCTCATGATTTGGATTCAGCGGACAAACAATTATATATAGGAAACTATTTATTATTTTCCAGACCACAAAATTATGCAGACCTGTTTTAATTATTGCTTCATATCAATTGCTGATTAAGCTGTCGGGGTTAAAGATCAATGTGTACGATTCCTCGGCTCCTATTAGCGATCGAAGCGCATGTGAATATTACAAATATTTTGTTTTCTGATAGCGCGATTAAAAAAGTTTTTATCAGTCTTTCGAAGGACTCCACAAAATTAGCATCGCTATCGCAAGTTATCACTTCTGCGCAGTGAAATTGTTCGTTGCTAGAATTTAAGCGATTTAATATTTTGTGCTGTGCTGTTGTAAGGTGAAAGAAAAACAATCGATAGTTGATCGATAGTTGATCAAACAGTTGATAGTTGAAAAGAACGCAAGTTTTCCTGCATCATCTCGTTAAAGTTTTTTGTTCCGCGTGCATACGTAAATGTTTCTTATTTGATAAATGATTATTATAAAGGGGCGACACGTATATCTGATATGCAACGCGAGTTGAAAATATCCGTTGTACATTATAACAAACATAAAATAATACGGGAAAATAGACATCAAATAAATAATTTATCACATTTTCTTATTTTAAACTTTATATAATATATTTTATATTTTAAATAATATATTTTACAATAGCTGGGAGAGAAAATGTATTTTCAAAATATATTTAATGTAGAGTTTAATCTATGTGTGATATATTTAATGATATATTTGTAGCCGAATTTTTTTTTTAGAAAAAACATGTTTGATAGAAAAGTTTCATCATAGCTTTTGTAATCAAATTTATCACATTTGTGGTAACATATTTTTATTTTTTAAATTAAATAAGTATTAGAAACGGTAAAATAGTTTCGCGTTATTCTGATATCTTACAATGATACTCGTTGACCAATAGTCATTAAATAGTCATTAAATTAATAATTATTATTTTCATATGACTTTTTATATAATTTTTTAAAAGTAATACTCGCAATTATTGAATAACTATAATTGTTAATTATTGACAGAAACGCATTATTCTTAAATTATATGAGTTATTTGATAGTATTAAAATATTCGAACTAAATATTTAAAAACACATTATAAGTCGTGAATGTCTATCAACGTCATATGAATTAACATTCCACAACTGGTTATATATACATAGTAAACGATGATAACACAAACACACTCCACTTATCGGTATAATTCCTACATACATATAATGTGCCTACATATGCCTACATATTATGGAATTTATATGCAAATTTATTTTATTGGTAAATGTTGCGAAAAGACACTTCACTGATTACTTTGATTTTCCAATGACGTATATTATAGTGGATATAATCCTGAATCGTGTGCACTTTCACAGTCACGATGCGGATTCTTATAGTTTCTGAGAGACGTCACTTTAAAA